CAGAGGAACAGAAAAGGGGGAAGTGGGAGGGGAACGGGCAAGGCCAGGGGCCCCCCAGCCAGGCGCACCTGCACCCACAGCCCCAGGGGTGGGCACCCCCTCAGGGCTAAGCCCGGGGGAGACGGGAGGGGGGTGCAGAGCCTTGAATGCCTTCGTGCCCAAATTCTGGGGGCTCCGGCCTCCAGGGATCCCAAGGGTCACCCCAAGATTACACCCCCCAGAACCCTCTCAACCCCTAACCCCCCAACACACACAGAGATCTTCACCCCCCTATTGCCTGTATGCAAACAAGTATAGAATTTCTCTCTTTTATTAAAAAAATATATCTTTATTGATCTCAGAGAGAGAGAGAGAAACATCCATGATGAGAGAGAATCATGGGCCGGCCGCCTCCTGCACGCCCCCTATTGGCTCGGCCGCCTCCTGCACGGCCCCGACTGGGGATGTGCCCGCCACCCAGTCCATGCCCTCAACTGGGAATCGAAACCGGAACCCTTCAGTCCGCAGGCTGACGCTCTACCCACTGAGCCACACCGGTTAGGGCTCTGGATCTATTTTGTTCATCAGTTTATTTGGTTCCTTAGATTCCTCATAGGAGTGAGATCATGGGATAGGTGTCTCTCTCTCTGATCGGCTTATTTCACTTAGCATCATGCCGTCCAGGTCCCTCCGTCCCGTCCCAAAGGGTCAGAGATCCCACCTTTTTCAGGGCTGCGTACTATTCCACGGTGTCGGTGGGCCACGGCTGCCTCATCGGGCCGTCTGCTGATGGGCACTTGGGCTGTTTCCAGATCTTAGCGATTGTAAATTAGAAGCCCAGTGCACAAAATTCGTGCACTAAAGGGGTGTCCCTCAGCCCGGCCTGTGCCCTCTTGCACCCCAGGAGCCCTCCATGAGCCCAGCTTCTGGCTGAACAGGGCTGCCCCCTGTGAGAGCGCACTGACCACCAGGGGGCAGCTCCTGCAGTGAGCGTCTGCCCCCGGGTGGTCAGTGCACGTCACAGCGAGCAGTTGAGCATCCTTAGCATCTCATTAGCATATGACACGCTGATTGGTTGAACGGACGATCCCTCAGCCCGGCCTGTGCCCTCTTGCACCCCAGGAGCCCTCCATGAGCCCAGCTTCTGGCTGAACAGGGCTGCCCCCTGTGAGAGCGCACTGACTGCCAGGGGGCAGCTCCTGCAGTGAGCGTCTGCCCCCGGGTGGTCAGTGCACGTCACAGCGAGCAGTTGAGCATCCTTAGCATCTCATTAGCATATGACACGCTGATTGGTTGAACGGACGATCCCTCAGCCCGGCCTGTGCCCTCTTGCACCCCAGGAGCCCTCCATGAGCCCAGCTTCTGGCTGAACAGGGCTGCCCCCTGTGAGAGCGCACTGACTGCCAGGGGGCAGCTCCTGCAGTGAGCGTCTGCCCCCGGGTGGTCAGTGCACGTCACAGCGAGCAGTTGAGCATCCTTAGCATCTCATTAGCATATGACACGCTGATTGGTTGAACGGACGACGGGACACTTAGCATTTTCGGTTTTTATTATAGAGGTTGCCTGCGTACACGTCCTTTGGTTGCTCTCTAAGACTCCCCCCTCCCCCTGCCACCTCCCCTGCCAGTTGTCTCTGGATCGATTCTGGTTCATCAAATTCTATTGATCCCGTGCATGTTTTTAAAATATATTTTTATTGATTTCAGAGAGGAAGGGAGAGAGAGAGAGAGACAGGACCATCCATGACGAGAGAGAATCATGGACCGGCCGCCTCTTGCACGCCCCCTACTGGGGATGGAGCCTGAAACCCGGGCCTGTGCCCTCAACCGGGAATCGAACCCGGGACCCTGCAGTCCGCAGGCCGACGCTCTACCCACTGAGCCACACTGGCCAGGTCTGGGTTGTGATGCTTTAGGTCAAATCCTGCAGGTCCCTCACACTCTCCCTTCCTTGGGGTCGGGTTCGAGCACCCAGCCCCCTCCCCCTTTGCCTGCATTTTCAGGAGAAATTTATGTTTTTTTTTTTTTTCCGTTCAGACGTGGCCACAGCCCAAGCTGTGGGGTGTGTGGAGCTCACCCAGGGGCGTGACTGCAGCGAACTCGCTGGGGTTGCAACACGGGGTGCGGGCTGCAGGTCCCGGGCCCCAGCTGGCCCCAGCGATACCGGGAAACTGGTCGTATTTGCAGGGCTCGGTTCGAGGAAAGAAATCTTTCGAAAGAGGTTCTTGCTGGTTTTTTATCGGCCCTGAGCCTGCCCCGCCCGGGTGGGATGGGGGAAGCTATAACCGCTGTCTTATCAGCGGGTCCTCTTGTCTGTTCTCTCTTTTTTCTTTCCAATTTTTTCTTTTATTTCTTTGCTTTTTTGTTAATCGTCATCTGAGGACACATTTCTCCATTGATATAGAATATATATGTGTGTGTGTGTATATATAT